TAAAAATAAAATCATTAAAAAAGATTATTATTAGAATTTATAGAATGAAGAATACAATTTTTTTTAAAGATGTAATTAAAAATCAGGTGAAATTAAATGGACTTGATTAAAAATTAGTTAAAATTATAAGGACCCGCATATTTATTAATTCTACAGAAAAATTTTAGGAAAAATTGTTGAAAAATCTCTTAATAAAATATTCATTGCACAAAGGTGTCTGAATTTTGTAGGTTTTTGAGTAGGTCTAAATGTAACTCTCTCTTTAACTATGTACAACATGTCTTAAACTATGTGCAAAAAATTTTCGTAAAACACGTTCGACTCATTTTATAGCAAATGCAACTTTTTTTTGAATTGTGTACAGTTTATTTTTAACTATATGCAAGAGTTTTCAAAATAAAAAATATTTATACAAAACCTGAAAATATTTATGCACAATTGAAGAACAGCTGTATTTGTTGAAAATAAGTTGCATATATGTGAAGAAGAGCTATGTCCATTAAAGATAAGTTGCACCTTTGGTAATAAAAATTTGAGTACTTGTTCAAATTTTAGGTATCTTTGGGGAATAAAATTTTAGGTATCTTTTGGACAGTAAAATTTTAAATTAGGAGTTTTCAGACATTTTCCCCAAAATTTACCAAGTATTAATCCAGAAAATATTTGTTATTTTTCGATTAAATAAAATCCTCCGTTTTTGAAAATCTTGGTAAATTTTAGTTAATTTGATTAGATTTAAATGACATCACTGAGTGAAGTCAAAAAATTAGAGATTATTTTTATGTGTTTAAAAAATTTGAACTCAAATTGTTGTTAAAAAAATTAGATTTTCCGCCGCTTAAACCAATAAACACCAGTACACAAATATTTAACCGACATAATCTTGATTCCTCAACTGTGCAAAAGGTCAATAACATCAAATATAAAACAGCATTTTGCATAACCTCATTCACATATATAATAAATTGGCAGTTTAAGTTTTACTTAGTAATGGAATTAATTAAAGAAGTCTATCGTCCCAAAACATTAATTAAAAATTCAACTTATTGATTATTTTTAAATAAAATTAAAACTAAAATAGTTAAAATATCTTTATTTTTGAAGTCTTAAATTATTAAAAGAGGTCGAAATATATATATAAAAAAAATAATCAAAACTCTGATCAATGGGGGTGTCGTATAATATATTGTCGGAAATTTTACATCTTGTACTCACTATAAAATATTGCACTAACATGATGAACGTTGAGATTCTTTTAAATTAAAAAAAAAATGAAGAAGTTGGTGCCATGATCCCCTCATATTCCAGACACAAAATTGAAATTATAAAATACTCTACTTTCTCTTGCCTTGTTAAACGTAATGGCCCTAAATAAATAAAATCATAATCCTTAATTTTTATATATATAAATATATATAGTTGAGGGACCCATTCCCTAGTCGGTTACTCCCGTCTTTTTTTTTTTTTTTAATTTAACAGTGATCAATACATTTTACTTGAAGTGAATAGAGGACTTTATGTAGTTATTATTGAGCTTCAATTTGAATTCTTCATACTTAAAAGTTTCAAGAAAATTAACTTAATGTTTAATATAAAAATATAACAAGTATATGTTTTAATCTAAAATTGAAAAAGCACATCTTCTTTTAACTTTACATAATTTTTCATTTTAGTTCCTTAATTTTATAAATCATTTTTTCAGTTCTTTAATTCTAATACTAATAAACAAAAATGCTGACATTGAAATTTTATATATTAAGAAAATATTATCTGCTGGAAAAAAAGATATTATCAAATGCTGGCATAGTAAATTTAATTTACAAAATAATAATGATTGTGATTAAAAATCATTCTTTGTAACAAACGATGTTAGGGGTTAAAATACTACAAAATATTTTATAAAATTAAGGGTTAAATTGAAAGCTTAAATAAAGTTAAATGACCACATGTGCACTTTTGTCTTTCAATTATATAGTTATTTATGGAAATTATATATTCTTAAATTATTATTAAAAACTCACACTTGTTATGTCTGATTATAGAATGTAATGCATATAAGAATTTTCCTAATTAAGATAAGATTAGAAACAATTACACATGATCTGTTTCAAAAAATATTTGTACAAAGAAAAAGGATCAATGATGTGAGAAAGCAAAGCAATATTGTTTAGCTCAAGCCACATTTAGACATTCTCAAAACAAAGTGATACAAAAATGTGATTGCATGTGTGTACGTAGGGCTTATATTTCATAATTATAGTTATAATCTCTTTTTTCTTTATATACATGTAATGTTGTAAATTTTGTATCAATTTCTTTCTTACTTTCTCTATCTTACAGAACACCAATTGTCACCTTCTTTTTTCAATTTAATTTTCGTACAAATTTCACTTTTTCATCATTACGAATTTGGCTTCTTCTTTTCTTTTTTTTTCTGTATGCCAAATTAATTGTCAAAAATCGGAAAATCCAAGGGTGAAAATATAATCCATCAGTTAAATCTTAGTAGTTTCATATTACATTTGCGAATAAGTAAATATGAAAGAAGATGAATCAATGAGAATAAAATAATGCTTTAACGTGTTTCATGCAGGAAATGCAACAGAAAAATTTACTAAAGCACCTCTTGGCCAACTCATTATTCCTTTTCTAGAAAGTAAACATATAACGTACGTTCAAACAAAATAAAACAATTTTCTACAAAAGGGTTTTCTCTTAAAAATAGTAAAAGCTATAAATATATATGATAAAGATAATAATAATCAAATAATGCCAGCTTTATCATGTTATGAATATTCCCCACAAATTAAATTCCTTTCAATAAAGTCGTGCCTGCCGACTCATATAAATAAATAAACCATGAAAGAAAATAATAAATACATATATACATGAATACAATATTAATTAACATGACGATAAGGATTAATCTAAAATATGATAGCATGCGAGAGGAATAAAATCAGATTATCAAAGAGTTTCCAAAACCTCGAGATTAATTATTTATAGAATTTGTTGGCAAAAAAAAAGTCATTTATGGAATGAAAGTACAAACAAAAAGAATACCTTTGGAATGATAAGATTTTGATTCCCGCAACAATATTAATTAATTAAACTGCTACTCAATTTATACGTACAAATTAATGTCACGTACTACCGCAAAGCGTGTGTTGTGATATACATGGCAGGCTCTAAGCATAAAAAATAATAAACTCGCATCGATATATGTGTGTGTGTGTCTGTGTGTGTATATATAAGCTTCATTAGTTGGAAAATTACTTTAAAAAAAAAAAGGAAAATCAATAATTTAATAAGGAGAAACATTTTTTTTCAAAAAAAAAAAAAGTGTCCCTTAGTATGTGTTTGACCCACTGTGGAGGAAGCGCCTTTGACGTTAGATTTTACGCGTAAACTCATAAGCATTAAAACCAGCTACGCATGTTGATACAACTTTTTTTCTTTTTTCAATAACAACTCAGCTTCAATTTTTTTTTTTTTTAAAGTTTGATTCAAATGAAGTTGCACTGAACATTTGGATTGACTGGTAGGAGTTGTTCCAGGTTAAGAAAAAGTTAGGGGTTTGATCCTTCTTTTTTTCCCAGGAAAAGGTTGTGTGTGGCTCTGCTATGCTTAAGATCTCATTTTAAAGAAACGGCTATATACATGAAACCAATAAAAAAGTGTGTGTGTGTGTGTGTAAAGTTGAGCAGAAATTACATAGTTCATGCCAATTGTGAGTTACCACTGTACATATATCACTCTGATTTTAAATGTAAGTCACTTGTAGGGAAAAGTTTTGGTCGAAGATGTAAATCACTTGTAGTGTGTTTAATGATTATTTTTCAGTTTTACCTTTATATAATTCTTATTAGAAAGAAAGAAGGGAGAGATATAAGAATGATTTATACTAGAAGGGGAGGAAAAATATTAATAAGGATAAAATTAAAAAATCTTGTTAATTTAATGCATTTATTACTATGTAAAAATGTGCTACAAATGACTTATATCACGATCGAAATTTGACTTGAGCCTTGCCTTAACTAGTTTGCGCGTATTTAATTGTACAAAATAATGATTAAAAAAAGATTTTACACAGTTCATTTTGCAGATACCAAGACACTCCATAGTTGCTGCTGTTCAATAGCATAGTAGATCATAATATCTTGAACTGAACTCTCATATCTTTGAAAAGAGATAGGACAGTTGGCAGTTCATGTTGTCGAGCCTGAACATAACAGAAATGGAAGGACCGTTACAAACACCCGCTCATACCTAGATTGCCATGTTCACCAACATGGCATTAACATGAAATGCCTAGCAAATCCCTGAAAATGTTAATCTGGGCAGAAAGAATCCGCCTTTACATCTGTCCACGTAATGTCTGCAAATTCGTATAAAAATTTCCTTTATTTCAAACAATCTGGAAAGTCTGAGTTATATTCTTGAACAGGAATATTAATGTGGTAGCTAGGATTTTCATGTTGTTGCAGACAAAAATCCAGTTAGCAAGATAACCCTGTCCGGTTTCCTTAGCTTTTTAATAATCTCGGACTCATCCCCACGATCTCAAAGCCGTCCTTCTTTAGATGTCGTTTCCATTCCCTTTAAACCCAAATATCATATTCATTCTCCAACCCCACGTCTCCAAATTGACAGTTGTAAAACTCTCTCTCTCTCTCTCTACCAGTCTACTGTGCAATATTTGACCTCTGTGCTTCTCTCTCGCCTCTCCTGATTACTAGTTATTTTAATGCACACCAACTGCTTGAAGTGGGTCCACTGAGAACTTCAAGTGGTCCCACTAAGGGCTTGGTCCTGAAATTTGATTCCACAGTACGAGGGCTTTGTCTTATGCTGCTTATTGGTGATGGTGAAGCCAATCCCTGTCTCTCTTCATTTCTGCTAGTCGGGTATAAATAGAGGAATACCCATCTCCCGAGAGGCAAAGAAACAAAATCTAGCTTCTTCTGAGAGGGAAAAAAATAGAACACCTTCAATAAAAAATGGAGGCTTCTGGGAGGATTTCCGAAGAGTGGAGTTCTCTTAGTGGATTGTACACAGCTGAGGAAGCTGATTTTATGAATCAACTGCTTGGTAACAACTGTTCAGTCCCGGAAGAGATACTATATGAAAATTCAACTTTGGGATTTCCATGTGCGTTTTGGCCTGGACATGAATCAACAGTTGTGAGCGTCACGGGCATCAATAACAACACTTCATATTTTCCTTCCAATGATGCTGATGCTAATGCTAATGCCAATTTCTTCAGTTTCTCACAAGGAAGTAGCTCCAGTACTGATATTGGTGTTAGATACCGCCCTAATGATCCATCCATCAATTTTGATTCTGTGTCCATGGGTTTTTCTTTGGGGGATGCCAAAATTTTCCCATACAGTGTTCAAAGCCATGACCATTTGAGCCATCAGATCAATGAAAATACTCATGAAGAGTCAGTTGTTGACCCAGTTAAGAGGGTTCTTGCGGTTGCTGACAAGAATTTTCAGGCTAATAGGGAATGTGAAGAACTAGTTTCTTCTGAACCAGCTGAAAAGGGTAAAAACACCAATCTAGAGAAGTCAGAGAAAAGATCTAGGAGCTCTTGGGAGGTAACATGACACTAAACATCATGCCCATAATGTTAAACAATGTTTTTTTGGCAGAGTTTAAGCGTTTTTTTTTTTTATGCAGGTACAGAAGAACAAGAGGAATGTTAAATCAAAGAAGAACACAAAATCTGAATGTATAAGCAAAAATGAAGAGGATAGGAGCTTGCAGAGGCAGAGCTCGAGCAGTGGCTGCTCAGAGGATGATTCCAATGCTTCTCAGGAGCTAAATGTGGGGTCCACTTCAAGTTTCAGTCCTAAAGATTCTGCATCTCTCAAGTCTAATGGCAAATCAATGCCTGCTAAAAGTCCTGCCGCTGATCCACAGAGCGTATATGCGAGAGTAAGTTCCCTGAAAAAGGAGTTTCTATCTACCATTTTTTTCCCTAAGGGTAAAGGACGAGAATTTAGAGGTTTTCCTTCTGTATTGTGCAGAGAAGAAGAGAAAGAATAAACGAAAGGTTGAGAATCCTACAAAACCTTGTCCCCAATGGAACTAAGGTAGCTTTCTCAACTGCAATTTAACTACTGCTAGAAACTCCATTTTGGTCCAACTGCAATATTACCTGCTCCCTAAGAAATTATCTTTGATTTGGATCAAATATTGTTTTACTCTTGTTAAATGCTTTGATTTAGATGCTTAGATTCTGAGCTTTTCTTCCTTGATGAATTGCAGGTGGATATAAGCACCATGCTTGAGGAAGCAGTTCAATATGTGAAGTTCTTACAGCTTCAAATAAAGGTAACAACAAGAAAAGAAGCTCTAAATTTTCATCTAAAAACTAAAGATTGGATTATTTCTTTTTTCTCACATTTTTAACTTGACTCTCTGACAGCTTCTCAGCTCTGACGATCTGTGGATGTACGCTCCTATTGCTTACAATGGATTGAACATTGGCCTAGATCTTAACATCACACCTACCAAACAACCATAGGAAATGCGTAGGATAACAGCAATTTTATTCGGTCACTGATTCCTACAGACAATGGACTAAAGTAATAAATTGGGCAAAGTTTCTAAGTATTCTTGAACTATAATATATCAATATGAGTTGATTTATTGATTCCTAATTAGTAACACATTTGGTTTGGGAGCAGAGAACTATTGCCAAGAACTGTGTTGGTTCACTAATCTCAAGTCATTGGCTTCTTATGTATAATATTGTAAGCGGCTTCTTATTCATTAGCTTGAGTTTCTAAGCTATAGATCCTGTTCAGTTTTCTGCAAAATTGACCTGCAATAATAGATATATGGCTTGATTGTACTTTCAACATACATGTTTTAGTCAAGAGAGCAATTTAGTCTCTTTTGTTCTTTTTCAACTTAACCCTTTTGGTTATATTAGAGAAATAATGATGCCCTTCTTTCTTTGTATATTTGTTTGAGAAATCTTGTCACTAAAATGCTAATTAAAGTAAATTATCTTTCTAATTATTTGAATCAGAACACTTTAAAATAATAATCAGCCATGGCAAATGTTTGACATCGTTTGATCACAAATAACTATCACGTCTAACATTGTCAATAATTAATTTTTCATAAATAATTCGAGGGACTAACTTGTCATTGCACTTGTTGGCATGAGAATTAAATTGAAACACTACTACTACAATGTTTAAGTTAATGCAATAAGATGATAACAATTGTGTCCGGACTCCGGAGTAATTTAACTGTACCTTTTAACTTAGTGATAAATGTTGGACCTAACCCAAAAATAAAACAAAATAAAATGCATCCTTGTATAAAATTTATATATGTGTGTGTAAAATAAATATATAAAAATTATCATGTAAATACTGCAATTTTCTGTATGGTGCTCCTGGCCATGTGCAGGCTCCACCGTCTGGTTGAAAAGAGGGGGCAAAAAAGGAACTCAAATAAAAATAAAAAACTGTGTTAGTGCTGAACTATTTACACACACACACACGCTGCGTCCTTATTATAATGCATTCTCTAGAGGGAGTATGTACTCCCTTGGTCCTAATTATTTTTAAATCACACCATTTAATCAGAAATAAACTTGAAAAAAAATTACTAATTTAGGACCTATTTAATGCTTTAACTGCCAAATTTTGATATGTGAGAATTAGTTAAGAATAAAGACGAGAAGAACTATATATGTAAGCATGGATTCTTGAGAGAACAGAAAATAAAGGTCAACTAAAGAAGGTGCACCTAGCACGCTGCGTAATGGAGGTAAGGTTGACGTAGTTTTTTGCTCTAATGTTGAAAACTTGTAATCAGATTATAATAAGAATTAAGACAGGATGAGAAAAATAAACGACCATTCCATTTGTGGTGAAATCATTGCGCATTAATTGGAATTAACATTTTTTGACCTTCCAAGCTATGTTTGGATGACATCCCATAGATGTTCATCATTAAGTTTTAAAATAATCTTGAAGCCAAATATATTTAATATATATTAATAATGTTGTTCTAAATTATTCAGTATATTCATTTTATACACTTGATAATTTTGGAGGCCTTTGTTCTTGGTAAACAAAAACATTGTAACAGTCCGATTTTCTTGAAGGTCAAGAGTTCAAATTGAGATTTTGTAAAAAAAAAAAAACCATTGAACATGTCACCAACACTTGGTCAATTACTGCCTCAGATAGCAAGTGAAAAATTCGGCCATGATTTTTTTCCCCAACAAAATGGCTATTGGCTTATTTATAGCAAAAATACACTTATCATGGTAATTTCCTGTAGAAATAATCTAGCATTGCAAGGTACAACATCTCTATGTACAATTTGTTAAATGACTTGATGGCAAAAAGAAAAATCTTTTGAAGGTTAGGTTTGTGTCGCATTCTTTTGGGTGAAGGGTGAACACCTCTTCTATGAGCTTCCAAGTCCTAAACACTGCAAAAGCGTCCAGTCATACAATTTGATGGTTTCCCAGGACATCTATCTTCAAAATTACATCTTTATGTCTTCTAAAATAACACCATCAATTTTTCAAAGAAAAAAAGTACGTGACCCCAAATCCCATTCTCTTGTCCTATGTAAGTATTAAATACTCAGAAATCAATCTAAAAGTAAGTACAGGGGGGGAAAGGGTTAAAAATTACAATCTGAGCATCAAATGCATGGAGCAAAGATGTGCGATAAAGTGAACACTCTGAAATTACAGACTCAAGTGAAATTTCGTGGCCAGCCCTAAACATTCAGTTCTTACAGTATCAAGCAGGCTACATCCCCAACAAGAAAAAAAAAAATGCAGGACAAGTAGCTTCTGGGGATATTCTAGTGTCCATGTATGATACAGCTAAAGCTAATATATAAAATTCAATGCACAGAATTCTGGATGGGCTCACAAAGGAAATAGGAAAAGCCTCATCCATGACATCCCGGGAGATTCACAAATTCTTCTCACGCTCTTTCATCACTGACATGATTTGGAACTTCTGCTTGGCTGTCCAATGGCATATACTGTGCCATGATTGCCCTGATCTCAGAATCCATGTATTGCTGCAGAACAACGCACACAAATACCAGTCAAATTTTTACCCAATTGTACACAAATTACACAGAGGAACTATCATTCACTGATAATCAACACCAAATATTATTAATCAAGCAATCTCATGTCAGCAAATTGAAGCAATCTTCTTGCTATGGAGTCATTAGTACACCATGGTAATATTTTATAAAAATTAACAAAGCTAAAAGTGGTGAGATTTTAAGATTCACATAGTTTTTGAGTGGCATAAAATATTGACCAAAGTGGTATCATCTTAAGCAACCTGGTCTCCTTATCAATAATAATTTGTTTTTGATGTCAGTTTCCCAACGAGATGCATCTGGATAACACAAGGTGTCCAAAATACTGGGGCTGAGATGACAGGATATAAAATGCCTCATGCTTTTGTGTTTTCCGATTAAGATTTCTAATATAAGTTTGGCAGACTTGAAACGTTGTGGGTCTAGTGATCTACTTCCAACCAAAGGCCACTATAATGCTATGGAAATTTGACAGCAAGTATCCAATAAAATCACCGAACGGGCAAAAGGTCAACGAGCTTACCCTTATTCTATACTTGTACACAAGATATGCCCCACCAGCAGCAATAGCTAAGCCAAGTAAAATGACCCAAAAAGCTGCCCATGCAGATCTTCCCTCACTTGCTGTCTTGCCTGTAGATTACACAACAGGGAATATGAAATCATGTTCAAATGAAGTATATGAAAAAGAAATGGAGTGTAATGGACTCACTTATGCAAGCATCATGGTCTCGGATATACAAAAGATTCCCACTACAGCTGCAGTCATAACTTCCCCAGGTATTCTTGCAGCTACATTCAGGGCACTGACAAGCTTTCTTCTCCCTGCACTCATCAATATCTGCACCAAGGAAAAAAATGAAAAGAAAATGAAAAAGAATAAGGATAAGGAGTTCAATCTCATTCTATCCTTTTCCAGTTGCAGCGGAAACATTCCGTAGATTCTTGACCCATCTCATTTTCCAGTTATCACAATCAAGTCCACAAAACTTGTCAAAAAACCAAGGATTAAGACCCCACAATTACTTCACAACTAAAATGAAAATCTGGGGAAAAAGAAGGGTTAAAAGTTCTCATTTTACATCAAGAAAGGTTTCAATTGACAATTGGGAGGCAATGGAAATGCCATAATAGAGGACCATACTTCAATCTAATACTGTCATTTTCCAGTCACCATGCTTGATCCAGGCGATCAGCATTAAGGGCTCAAGTATTCATAGCATATAATATTAAACCATAAACTTAGAGAAAGCTTTAAAATGTTCCACTTTAGCTTCACAAAAAATATTATACAAGGTCCAGCATTTTATTGATGATAAACGCTGTAATTAGCAAGCATCATGGATAACAACAATGAACGACAAGGTTCTGGTCCCAGGAAAGAAATATCACCCAATACACACACACAAATAAGGTCACAGCATCCCTCACCTTCACAACTTTTGACACCATCCCCTCTAAACCCTGGAGGACATTGGCATTTAACCTCTCCATCATCCTATTCAGTAACAACTTTGGTCAGTTACAAGGAAATGAAATTCAACTGTCATAAATTTGAAGGGGACAAACAAAATGAGCAGAAGATACACATTGCTCACCGAACAAGCAGAAAATGCATGTCCATTCCGGGCTTCATGCCAACAACCTCCATTGTTTATCTTGCACCTGCCAGGTCCACTGGCTGCAAGCCAGAAGAAACCAGAATGAATGAAACTATCAAATATAAGAAGCAAAAGAACCACGTGTTTTACTTGCTTGTGAGATTGAGAGGGCCAATGACAGAACCCATTTGAAAGTCAGGACCATATGGCCGTCCCATCAGCAGAACTGATGACAAAACACATCCATACAAAAAAGGACCACACTATTTCATTTAAGTTCCCCACCGACGAGCAAAATATTGCAGAGATTCATGCCAATAATTTGAACATGGAATGGTTTCTTCAATCTAAGGAAGGAATCTCAAATCAAGACACAAAGTGACAATGTTACTGATAGCAAATCATTTAAGAGATCCCAGATCCGGGAAGAAAGAAAAGAAAAAAGAACGCTAGGCATGCTCGGTGGCAATAATCCAGGTGAAATCTAACAGAATTCACCATGATTAAGAAAGCAAACGCCAAAACCTCTATTAATGAAAAAGCTGCCCTCCCAGAATTAAGACGTTAGATTCCTAGTATCTTTTGAACAAGAATCAGTCCAATGAATAAGTACAAAATCTACGCGGCACAAGGTCCATGAGTCTCTAACTCCCAATGATACCACAGCAACATTTCAAATGAATGATTATTTAAAGGACCTTGTGTCATCAACAAAATAACAAGCATGCAAACACATAAACATATCAGATATCATTTTCCTTGGAAAAATAAACTCCCATATAAGTTATAGAAGTAGGCATGAAAAGTCAATAAGCAAAGCGTT